GCATTCCTCATGCATCAAGGACACCTCATGAGTTGCCCCCTTCATATATGATAGTAAATGTTGTCTTTCACTTGCAAAGAGACTGCTAAAGAAGGAAGCAAATATGTGAGACTTCATGGAAAGCAAAAAGAAAGCTGAGTAACAAATATGTAATAATACTTTTTAATCTGTATTTTTTACTGTAAAGATGGAGCATATTCTGTTCCTGTTCTCAAACTGGCTGCTGGAGCCAGAATCCAGTTTTACACTACCTGGTAAAAGATGCTAATGGGCTGAAACTGCCAGCTAGCAGGTTGGTGACCTACATACAAGCCAGTTCAAGGAAGGCCTCTTCTCCACATTTCTTCTCCTTTACTGATGGCTGTCGCTTTTACCAGAGACTATACATGGCAGAATTTGTCAGACTGAGTTTTAACATCTTTCTGTGAATATTAGCAAACTTTTAAACATATCCTTAGATTGAGGCTGTTAAGGTTTTTGATTGGAAATTAACACTTGAATCTCATACATACTTTGTTGTAGTCTAGTCTGAATAGTGTTCTGGTATGTTGCATATTTATGCTAAGAATCAGCGTATGCTGAGAATCAGTGGTTCATTTGAGGATCTACAACTTGAGTCTGGATCTGAGATGGGCTCTAAAGCACGAGGACTCAGCCAGCTCTGGGCTCTACAGCTGGAGCAGTAGGTACCAAGAGCTCCTCTTGGCATGAGCTTCCATTCACAGTGCTCGATGTTGCTGGGGACTTAATATGCAGAGAAGTAGTTACAGACATGCATCCTCTCTTACCTCTTTCTCCACAACTGCATTCACCTAACTTACTGCTATCATACTCAACCCCAAAACCGTCTCCCTACTGGCTGTCTGAAACCAAAGGAAATTACAGTGCAGCTATGACATGAAGAGCTATCTTACGATCTGGTGTTGCCTTTATGCCTCTTCTTTAATTTCCAGTACATATCCCTTGGCTTCTGAAGAGGAAGCAGGTGGATGTTGTCTTGCTTTCTTTTTAGTTTTATCTTTTCCAGCCTACCCAGATCCTGGGATATGTAATGTTTGGTTTTAATGCACTTCATATACTATGTATGGGTCCTGGAAGGCTTTGGTGGTTAGCTCCTGCCTCGCTCATAAACATCCCAAGGGTTAATGGGACTCAACAAGAAGCTCTGCAACTGCTAGGTAATATTTAGCCATCTGTTCACAATGCTTGCTTGTGTTGTAGAGCCATGCAAGACTTTGAATTCAAAATCGTGATGTAGTACATGTGCATACTTGGAATTAGGTAATTTAACCACTGAATGGTAGGCATTTGAAAAATAGCATTAAGACTTGTCTGAGGTTCCACTTCAAAAAACCTTACAGGAGAAGATGTAATTCTTGACTTTGAGGCAGGAATCTGAATTAATACTGAATGACTACTCCAGCCACATTGCCCAACTCTGTGAAAAGTTGAACTGCTTTGAACTTAAAATACCCTTATCAGTGGGAATTAAATTGTGCTCTGCCATTTCCAAGAGGTGTTTGGTTCTCGACTATATTCCCTCAGGAATTAGCAGAATAAAACTGATGGGAGCAAAAGTGAGAAGGGTTGATGGATATAGTTTTGTAGATGTCGTGCCTTAAACAGGAAGAAGAGAAAATAGGATAGGAGGGAAAAAATGGGGTGATTTGCTCTTTTCAGTGGAACAGTTTCCAAAAGAGATGATTCCTTCTACTTAGTGAAAGGATGGGTATTTTATGATATATTTACATAGCAAGATTCAGTGAGAGGTCGTATAGGTAGTTGAAGTACCTTGGCTATACTTCAGCTTAGATGCCAGATTCAACAGAGCTTTGGTTTTCTTCCCAATGCTGTGCTATGTGGTAACACTAGCAGTACCAACGTTGCAGATGTTGATATTCTTGGGATATGCCAACTTTTCTTTCACTGTTAGACATTACTCAAGCAAGCAGTTACTGTCTCTGTGAACAGACATGCAGACTGGGGTAAACCCACAGCATTGTGAGTAAAGGATGTATATGTCAATGTTTATTTGACAGGTCACAAAAACAAATATGTAGCTGATAATTGTGCTTGGTTATTTATTTTTTAAGTGTGCCTGGTCACTCCACGGAAGGCACATCGCATCCTCTGATGATTTGGAAATGCCACACAGTAGGATAACATACCCTATGCAGAACACGCATGGATACATATATAGACACACAGATTTTAAAAGTTAGAAAGTAACTTTTACTGCGCTCTTAGGTGTAAAGGATTTTCTTCTCTGAGGAAAGGTGTTTGCGTAATTGTTGTCTAAGTAGATGGACTTATATTTTAGTATTGAAAGTTATTTACATTAATTAGCTTTGGTTGCTAGCATGTTTCACATATCCTCCTATGAAGTTAGCCTACATTGTTTTTCACATGCATTTAGAATAAAATTGGATAGCAAGTGCTAAAAGACTGTAAAACATTACCAAAACATTTTTATATTTTTTCTATTTAACATTATCAAAGAGGTTGAGTTCTGGTACTGTGTGAAGGACCTCTACAGCAGTTGCAAGTAATATGATCACTGCTTTTCCAGCCTTTCCTAATGACATCCTGGCAATTCACTACATCTTTCTGTGAAACTTCTGCATAGTGTGGCAATTGTTTAGTTTGTATTTCTTGTGATCCTGTCAACAGAGGGTCCAATAGAAATGTTGGCTTTTCTCCTTCTTGCCAGTTCAGTTAGATTTAAAAAAAAATGCACGCCAAATTAATTTTAGATGGCAGCAACGGAGCAGTGATCTAGCCTTTATAAACTAACTGAAATGGAAAAGGGGTGAAGTCAACACAAGCTGAGTAGCCATTTCTGGTGTTTTCCCTGTGTTGCTTGGAGAAATACCAATTTTTTTTTTACTTTGCATTACTGATGTTTATCAGCTGTATTCTAACAGGTGAAGCCCTAATTTTATTCTCTAGAAATTACCTAGTCTATATGCAGTGATATAGGTGGTTATAAAACACATAAATTTACAGAGTTCAGTTTGAAACTAGAGACACATTATTCCAGTAACACTCACAGTTCTATATGGTGTGTATATTACTAGCTGTTTCAGCAGAGACAAAAGAAGAGAAGGTTTTAGAAAAACTATTCTTGTTTAAATCCATCTGGGTTAGCTTAGAGTGCAGCATAGACATACTGGTATATGGCTTGAATTGTATGATAAAAGCTGAGAATCCAGTTAGATAAACACTGAAAATAATTAATTTTGACCCTAAGCTTCAATGTTTTTGAAATGTGCCAGGTTTTTTCTACTTTGTTATTCTGAGCGATACTCATTGGAAATACACAATACTTAGATTTATTTTTTTTCCGACCTATGATGAAATAGTAAATTAAATATTTCCTGTCATTCCAACCTAAGTCAATGAGAATTCTTGAGTGGGATTATGTGGATGCAAGACTGGGATCTGAAATTTTGAATGCAACGGCAAACTAGAACAGAGTTTATTATCTTTATCAAGAGAATTTATAGCTTTTTTCCTATAACTTAGGAAATAAATGTGTTATATATGGCACAGAGATTTTTTTAAAACCTTGCTCTTGTACCACTTCATTATTACATAAATTATTTATACGTTTAATTTGTCTGCACACAGGTAAGAACATCCAGCTTAGTGAAATGACCAGGGGTTTTGGCCAGTAAATGAAAAAAAACCCACACTTGGATATGCCCACAGCATAAATGAGTCCTAAGCAGATGACTCTGCCACAGCGGGGTGGCATCAAGGTTACAGCGTACCACATACACCAGCCCTTCCAGCAGCAGGGAGAGAACAGCAAAAGTTCACCCCAGTAAAAGGCATGTCCAAAAGCTAGCTCAGCAGTGCCAGTTAAGAAGCAGCAGAGACATGAAAAGAAAGCTGGCACCTCCTGTCGCCTGTGTTGCATGTTCCTGGCCAGAGGACCACATGCATTGTGGTGCTTCTGCATGTGCAGGTGTGAGGCTGTGAGGGAATAAAATTGATGGAGAATGAGTGTTAGAGTGTAACATCAACTTGCTTAGAGTTATAAAACCACTTCCTCTTCCATAAGATCTCACCCTTGCGTTTGATTATCCTATTTCTCCGTGCTGCAGCAGCAGCAATCTTCAAATCTTCCATTTTCTCTTTTACAGGATTGTGGTGCCTTTCGTGAAAACCTGTCTCATGGTCTTGCCTTCAGTGCAAACTGTATGGAAGAGCCTGACAGATGTTTTCGTCGAACCATTCTTCCACAGCCTAGGCCGATGCTTTGCCATGGTTAATATACGCCTGGACCAAGAGTAAATGTCAGGGATGCGACACTGCTGTAATTGTAGCTGGTGTTATACCTCTTTGCTAACCTAACATACAAGCACTTACCATTCATTCCAAACTGTTAGATTACAATGGCTGGTTTAAGTGGGAACATGCTATTTTTTCTAAAACTCATTTATTTTCAGGGAGATCAGTTTAAGAATAAGTAGGCAGTTTTCATAGCTCACCATTTTAACAACAGAGCAAAGGCGGAGTATGTTGGCAACACTTTATTTTAATGGTACGTCAATTGCTAGATTACAGGAGAATTCTCGGGGAGGTTTAACAGCCACCAAAGTGATAATGATTGACGTTATTACTATAAATATTTAAATAGGCTGTGATACCTGAGGTGAAACTGATCTCTAGGGTTTCCCATTGACTTTGCTGTCAGTCCACCAGGGATTTTTTTTGGCCCTCACTATGCAGAAGGATCAACTCAGTCCTTTATTATCAACAGTTAAAATGAACGTGACTCATTGCATAAGCATACAGGGAAAGGAACTGTTGTGTAATTCTCCTATATTGGGGAGGAAAAGCTCCCTGGAAGCTTATCCCTTAAAATAAGGTGTTAGCTAATGATTTGGAACATCAGCTAATCTGTATATTTTATTTAATGAGAGGTTAACTTTGCTGTATATTTTGTACTTTTGTAAATGGCACTTGATCAGTTTTCTCTGAAGCATTGTTTCTATAGTATTTGAATTCTGACTAACTTACTAGGCAGCAAGAGTGAGACACGGCAAAAAATTACTTCAGATAACTAAAATTTCAGTTTCTAGATTATGTAGATTTGTAAGTGTTGGCGTGCAATTCTAGTATATTCATTATATATGGCTGCGTGAAAAAGGAAAGATTATAAGTGTTTTCATACAAGACTGCAAAAGAATTGGAAATTTCTGTTTATGAGAAATGTTTTTTATTAAAAATGGGGTGTAGTAAATGCAACCCTGCCTATTTCTGTGTATTATCTGTGTGAACATTGTGATATTTAAAACAATAGACACTATGCTGGCACTTTAACTAGGTAGCAAGCTCTCAGAGAAGGCAAGTGAGTGTAATTGGTTTCCTTGTCTAATTCTCACCTATTGACTTGACTCTCCATGTTGCTTATTTACTAGTTCAAAGCCTAACCGCTAAAAAAAAAAGCCCTTCTTCCTTCTGCACCTAATATGGCTTTGTAAACCAGAGTAACAGAACGTATGCAGAGGTACATTACAATTACATTAGCCTTCTGATGGGCTTGTGCTGCTATTTTAAATACAGGTGATGAGTTGCAATTGTAAAATGTTTGTATGTTATTTTCTAAAATAATATCACAGATTTCTTATCAAACAAAAGATATATAATAAAATAATAAAATGTCAGCTTTTTCCTATTTTCAACTTCATTTTTTCATGTTTTTCAACTTTTTAAAAAGCTCTTAAAATGCCAAACAGCATAGAACACTATGCAGTTCTTCCAAAATATGGGAGAGGGAGAAGAAATGGATGAGCATCAATATGGTTCCACTATTATCAACTGCATTTAACTTATTTTTAGTAGAAAATGATGTATCTCTGCGTGTAACTGAGCCCATACAGAATGATTGCTTTCTCAGAAGCAGGTCTCTCAGCGCAGAATTTTGGCTACACACAAAAAACCACTTAATTCTTTTTATGGGCGCATGCTTTATTTACAGACAAGCTGCTGAACTTTCCTTTTCTTGCTTATTGGCCTACAGAAGCTAGCTGACTCTGTATATTCTGTGTACATTTAGAACATCTTTGTACATTTAACATTTTTACCATTTGTGCCATTTAGAGAGGGAGTAATATGGCTTTTCAAAACTGGATCTTAATCATTAGTGCCCATGGAAACTTCTCTGGAGTTTCTTTCTTCTGCAAGAAGTGAGCTTGCTGTTCAGATGTGCTCTTCAAGATACCTTTCTTATATTAAAGCCGGAAATACCTCTTTTGAAAGTAAAAACTGATCAGGCTAGGCTTGAATTCTTCTGAGAGTTATTTTCTTTTAAAACGTCCAAGGATTTTTACAAAGATATTTTCCATGGGAAAATATCCCCTTGATGAATTCATTAAACAAAAAAAAAGAAAGAAAGAAATCAATCAGTACTAGTCCTTGCGTCTAAAAAGAGCCCTATAAAAGCCTAAGCTTTGAAGGAACTCGGATCTGGATCCAGACTTTGAGAATAAGGCCATTCCTCAGAGAAAAATGTATCGGTTTAGGTCATGCACCCCTGGATATATGCATTCTTAAACAGCTTACCGAAGTCATCTGTCTCTAGCTACCACAGACAATCAAGTAGAATGATTTGGTTTGTTCTTATTTTGATTTAGGCTTGTCATTAATTAGTTCTTTTCACCATTTCTTTAGCTGTTACAAGAGTCAAGCAAGCTTGTAATTAAGTAATTAAAGCTGTTAGTTTCTTAGCTATTTTATAGCAGTATCTTTTTCTGGAACAGATGTGCTTTTACTATAAGAAAATACCAAATGAACTGTTAGGCTTAGGGTAAAACATTAGGTGCTTGGCAAATACACTTACTTCATCCATGAAAGTAGTGGAAGGAAGCGTGAATATATACAGACTCTTCAATACGTAGGTGTGAATCTGCCCCAGGCAGCTCTGGCTGGCAAGTATTCTCTGGGTTTTATGGATTTGACAGTTCTGACAGATATCCCAGACCTCTGCCACAGCTTATACTGTCAATAGCTGACAGCACTGTTGGGCAATAGGGACTGAACGGGCACTGGCACTGAACTGTGATCTTCGATGTGGGGATGGGTTCCTTAAGTTCATCTCCAACTCATTTGAAATGTGGACAAACCATCCCAGCTGTTCCCTTAATGGCAACTTAGAAATGAGAATTTAGGCAAGAAGGGAGTCCAGAAACTTAGTCTCATTGTCTGCAACAAACGTAGGAAAATTTACACCTGGCTCAAGTGCGTCTACTTTGATGCATCTTCTTCCTCTCTATGGAATGGGGAAAATGTTACTGCTCTTCGTAAGAGTATACTTTCCATCATCATGGAAGAGTTATGAGGATAAATAAATAAAAAGTGTGAGATGTTCCAACTCCAGCCTGCCTCTTGTCACTGCAGACCTTGGATTCATAATCATGAGCTGGAGATTCAGTTCTGTCATGCAAAATATTTCAGCATCTTGGTTTTTCATGAAGATCACAACTAACATACAGAACTAACCCTTTTTTATTTTAATTTACAAAGAAATTCAGCCTGCCTCCTTATGAGAGGTATTTCATAAAATCCTTCTAACCTGACTCTAGAACTTTTATATTTGTATCTAATCTTTCCTCACCCTCCTTGTTTATCATATAAATTGATGTTATAAATAAAATTCTCAACAGAAACTTTGACGTATTAATAAATGAGGAGCCTTTTCCCACCTATCCAAAAAGCTCACCTAGGCATACACTGACTGTAAAGTTCGGAACATCCCTGCAGCTCTGGGACCTCAGACCACACACCCACATTTAGTAGAAGCCAAAGAATGGTAAGTCCGTTATTTTTACAGGGTGTGATTGTTCCCCCACCTGCAGAGATAAAACTATTGCTGTTAAGCTGTATTAACTCTATTTTAAAAATAAATGGAAAAATACATGTGGGGGTTCTTTTAAAAAAGAAAATGCAAATGGAACAAGGTCAAACACCAGACACGCTACCAGTGTTGTCTGTTAGTACACTGTGCTCATGAAAATTAGAGCTGAAGACCTCCAGTGAGTGCACTGAACCAGCAGCTACACATTAAAAACTGAGGTGCTTTCTTCATGCAGGGATTTACAACTGAGGGGAGAATTAATAAAGGCTAATTTTAGCCTGGTGACACTAATCTTCCTGAGTTTATTGCAACAAAATGAAAATGCTTTCCGTAGAGGCAACTCAGAGGAGCTAAGGTAGGTTCCTGCTCTGAATCATCCTCCAGAGAAGACTCTCTGCACCCATTAACACAAAATGTTTGGCTTGGCTTGTCTCATTTCCTCTGCTACATAGAAAGTTACATTTGATGCAGAAATTGAGCAGGCCTATGGAAGCAACTGGAGCTTCATGTAAGTAGTAAGGTCAGGTTCTTTTCTCCGTGCTTCTCTTACAACTTGTGGCCAGGGGTGAGTGTCACCTGTGTTAGGTGTTCAGTTTTGTCTGTTCTCTGTCTTCCCCCTCCAACTGCAAGGGGGAGAAAGAAGGACCCCTTCACAAGGCACTGCATCAGATCCTCCTTTAGACACCTAAATGGAATAAAATGTAGAGGTTCACACTTTTATTTCAAACTTCGAGGAAAGCTTTTCTATTTTTCTAACTGCCTCAGTTCAATAAGAGCTGTTTTTTCAATCCATGTGTAAGTTACTTTTTTCTAAGCTCACCTTGCTTTTTACCTTGCACTATCACAGCTATCACAAAGCCACAACTATAAGCTAGGATTGGCCATGAAACACGTAGACAGTGAAGCTCAGTGAAAAGTCCCGTCCTACATAACCCTCAAGGAGTGGGTATTTAAGTCCCATTAATGAAACTAGTTCTCACAGTCTGATATTTCTATAAGACACCTGAACAGTTAATAATATGCTAGGACTGGCAGAATGGCACAGAACAGTGTTTACAGTGATCCGCATTCATGGTCCAGCTCAGTATTTGTCAAGGAATTTGATACTGAAAAGGGCTGAGAAAAGAGTGACTTGATTTGCGCAAGGTCTGGCAGAATTAAAGCTTTCAATCCATTCGCCTCTCCAGCCAAGACGGTTCCAAGCTATCTTGATCAAGACCTACAGGGAGAGAGTTAGGCATTTAGATCCAAAATGGTAATCCCTACCCAGCTGCCACCCAACTAGGAACATGTCTAAACTCAGAAGGCACCTCCCTTTCATGTAACCTCCCCTCAGTACCTACAGTTTTACTTTGGTCATGCCCAGAACTGCCCTCGTTTGAGCAACTTGGCTTCTTTCTCGCACCTAAGCCCAGTCAGGATCCCAAAAGAAGGGAATAGATTGCCTTGGACCCCTCAAAATGTGCTTACAGCACATCAGCAGAATAGAGCACTTCCCAAAATACGTTTTCCCAGGAGTGAGTCCAAATGCATTAGCACATCTCAGACAAGCAAAAATTGATTTCGAGACTCTCAAGTATTGAATTACTTCTTCTAGCCCTCAGGCTATTGTGAAATGTGTTATGGCAGCAGTGCTTCCATATAAAAGGAAATCACTCCTAGCTAGAATTTGTGAGAAGGAAGGAATGTGAGTGGATCTCACCGTCTCTCCTGGTATAACTACTCCTTTGATGCAAGGAATAAACAGGCCAAATAACAAACATATACATCAAAGTGTGGTCCTATATACTGGTGTTGAGGGGCACCCATCTCAGTAGTCCTGATCCGGTGACTTATAATTTAAAATACAGAAATTTTCCAGACAGGGGGGATGGCCACCACGAATCCTTCAGGACTACAAGTCTGTAAATCATGGAAGGAGCAAAACATTGGCCTGCATGTTAAACCCATCTCAACACTTGTTATCACGCAGCAGGGTGAGGACAGTAGCATGACTGACAAAAGTTCACTACCAACAGTTCTTGCAGCTCAGGCTTTCATCTAGCAAAACATCCAAAAATGTGCATAAAAGGATGCGCCTAAGCAGTTGAACAGCAGGCAGTAAAAAAGCAGTGATCTTCCTCTCCTCAGCCTCAGGTTTTTAAGTGCTCGGTGTAAGGCAGGCTGCTTGCTGACAGCCACTGTTATCTGACAGCCTCCCTGCTGTTGAAGCTATACAGAAAGAACACAGTTTCCCAGAGCTGATTCTGATCTTGCTGACATTGCAATATATCA